CAGTGCCACCAGTTTTCAATAATATATTATATTATTAATCTTCATGCCAACTTTACTTCATGTTATTCACCCGATTTTAGAAACAAAAACTAAGACTCAGATGTTAAGTAACTCACCCAAGGTCACAAGCTAGTGAGTGGGAAGGAGGACACCAAGGCTGTCTGACGTCAGAGCCTCACACCCTTTCCACCATACCCATCACGCTGCTGGAAATGGCTCAGTGGGGTAGATGCAGGTCCTGGTGCAGCCCAGCATGGAAGATGGGGCAAACAGGTACCCCCACAGAGGTAACATCTGCTGAGGCACAGAAGTGGTGTGCACAGAGTCCAGAAGCAGTGCCTGGGTGTGAACAGACCTGTGCAGCTGGAGCAAAGTTGTTCTGACAGGCCAGAGCCCAGCTCCAAAGGGTCATGTGAGCCCGGCAGAGAAACTGAGGGGGAGGCCTTTCCAAGTCACCTGGTAGAAAATACCATGGCAGGAGTGTGGAAGGGATCAGGGACCAGATCAGGTACCAGAAGGGCCCTGTCAGTGGGGCTGATCATGATGAAGTGCACTGGGGCAGGGGCAGATGTGAGAGTGTGAGAAGCAAGAATCAAGAGGACTTGAGGGCTGCTCACTCACAAACCCACTAGCACTAACAATCTTTCACTTACAGCATCCCAACTCCAATGAGGTCTAACCTGACCTGGCACTGCCTCTGCTCCACTGGTGTCCTCTGCCATTTTTGTGTTTGTTCCCACATCAGGGCTTTGTGCTCGCCATTTCTGTGCCCAGGGATGCTTGACTCTTGATCATATCACATGGCTGGTGACTTCTCATCCAGGTTTCAGCTTAAATGTCACCTCCTTAGAAAGCCCTCCAGGACCTGTTATGGCACCCCTAGTCTCCTGCTGGCATGTGAAACTGTTCCATTTTCTGCATAACACTTTTGAAAACCTAAAATGATCCTATTTTTTGGTGTTATTTGGTCAGTCTGTTCCCTCCCACTGGAATGTAAGCTTGTGGGAGCAGGGACACCATCTTGTCTTGTTTACTCCAGTATCACCAGCATCTTAAACAGTACCTGGCATGTTACAGATGCTCAACACCATGAAAGGAAAGAAAGAAAATGGAACCAAGGCAGATGCTGGGCAGTGTGGGGGAAGGTGACTGGGAATGGAAGAACTTTGTCAGGTTTGCCTTTCAGATTTATGTTTGAGGTGATACAAGCTACCCACAGGTACAGATCCCAAAAAAGAGGCAGAAGTAGGGGACCAGGAGCTGCAGGTTGAAATGCAATGGTAGGAACAGATAACACACATGCCAAGGGAAGTGCTACAGAAAGAGGGGTCAGAGAGGCATGAATGAGCTTTAGGGTCTTCACATCTTGGGGGAAAGTGGAAGAACATAGGGACAGGAAGCAGACCCAAGGCAAGACACAGCAGCAGATTGAATTTATGGCCATAACCCCTCCCTCCCAAACTAACAGGAGATTGTGGGAACCAGGTGGTGCGGGGACTTACCCACGGGACAGCATCTCCCTGGAGAGATGGGGGAAGTCACAGGCAGAGGCCCACAGGGGGCAGGGCTGAGCCAGTGGCACAGCTATGCACAGTGGCCCTGGCCAGGTGTGGAAAAAACGCACAAAACTCAGCTACTTCCTTCTCAATCCAGCCCGCCAAGCCTATGGCACTACAGGGAAGAGGCCCTAGGCTAATGATCTTCAGGAAAAGGACAGGTGGGGCGGGGTTGGCCTAAGACCGCCTCCACCAGCCAGCTTCCCTTGTAGTCCCAATTGCTAGTCCCTAGTGCGGCAGGCCTGCCTGCCAGTGCAGAGAGCCTTCCCCAGGGAGAGGAGGAGCCACCTGGAGCTCCACCTGGCGCTGACAAAGCAGCAGGAGGGTGGGTAGGGACAAGACCAGGAAGTAGCCCTGGCCAAGGCCACACCAACCAATGGGGAACTTGTCAGTCAGCAGAAACTAAAGGGCCTAAAGGAAAAGCCCTGGGAGTCCAAGCCTTTTCAAGTCCCTATGGAAGAAAGCCCACCTGTGCAGGCCCACCCACGAAGGGGGTTGAAGGGCCAATCCAGTCTCTCAGCCTGCCCTTGGGGGAGGGTAGGAGCCTTAGGCCCTCACTGGAGTAGATCTGGGCCCAGCGAAAGGTATATATATGAAGAAGGAATGTGGCCAGGGGAAGACATAATCTGGGAACAAGTAGAAGTTGTCAGGACCACAAAAGAAGGACACCAAGGCCAACCCACAGGCACATTTATTATCTTCTGGAACACCAAGGTCTTCCCTTTCCTGGCAATAGCACAGGGAAGGCCAACTCTCAGGAGGCAGCCACACTGCCACCAGAAGCAGGCCCATGGGGTGGTAGTGTCATAGGTGGCAGGAACAATGCCTTCAGCTTGCCTGATAGGCTGGCGATCTCAGGATCTTGGGCCTCGTAGGACTTGACCAAGCGGGCAAATTTAAGGACCCCTGAAAAAAGGAGGGGAGAGTCAACCAGTATTTCAAAGACATTGGAAGGGGGGGTGGCCTGAGCCTGAGTTCCTGACTGCTCCCCCTCTGTATTTTTCTTAAACTTTTTCTTTTCATTTTTTTTTCTTTTTAAGGGGGAAGGTGAAAAGGGACTTTAATTCTTTTTTTGGAGACAGGCTCACTTCATTGCCCTGGGGTTGAGTGCCATGGCATCATAGCTCACAACAACCTCAAACTCGTTTTTTTTTTTTTTTTTAGAGACAGAGTCTTACTTTATCACCCTTGGTAGAGTGTTGTGGCGTCACAGCTCACAGCAACCTTCAACTCCTGGGCTTAAGTGATTCTCTTGCCTCAGCCTCCCAAGTAGCTGGGACTACAGGCACCTGCCACAACACCCAGCTATTTTTTGTTGCCGTTTAGCAGGGGCTGGGTTTGAACCTACCACCCTTGTATACAGAACTGGCGCCCTTCCCACTGAGCCAGGTAGTTTAAGGGGGCAGGCGCTGCCCCCTCAAACTCTTGAGCTCAAGATACCCTCTTGCCACAGCCTCCTGAGTAGCTGGGACTACAGGCACCTGCCACAACACTGAGCTATTTTTTCTATTTTTTAGTAGAGATGGGGTCTAACTCTTGCTCAGGCTGGTTTCAAACTCCTGAACTTAAGGGATCCTACTGCTTTGCCCTCTCAGAGTGCTAGGATTACAGGGATGAGTCACTGTGCCTGGTCCACTCTCCCCTTTTAGCCAGGACACAGACAGGCCTCTGTTCTGTGTGATCTGAATCAACTACTTTCTGGTCTGCCTTGGGCATAACTGGTTGGGATGCAGTGAATGAAAAAGTCCCAAAGCAGTATGCGTCTCACTCTCAGGTGAACCATTTTAGCAGTTTAGTCACAGGAACCCCAAGTAAGAAGCTAGGTCTGTAACTAGGGCTCAGGAGAGCTATGGAACAGCAGGGCAGAATCAATAAACACCCTTGGGGAACACAATGATCATATTAAGGAAATTTAACATGCTAGAGGGGCTGGCTGCAGGGTCACGTCATGCAGGTATCTCACTGAAAGCTAGCAGAGGCTTGGCGCCTGTGGCTCAAGTGCCACATACACCTAAGGTGGCGGGTTCGAATCCAGCCTGGTCCTGCCAAACAACAATGACAGCTGCAACCAAAAAATAGCCGGGCGTTGTGGTGGGCGCCTGTGGTCCCAGCTACTTGGGAGGCAGAGGCAGGAGACTCACTTGAGCCCAGGAGTTGCAGGTTGCTGTGAGCTGTGATGTTACAGCACTTTACCCAGGGGACAGCTTGAGGCTCTGTCTCAAAAAAAAAAAAAAGAAAGAAAGAAAGAAAGAAAGCTAGCAGAACAGGGTTCAGGTCCAGGTCCATCTAGCTCTGCTATAACTCCAGCCACGCACCTTACTATTAGATTCTGTGCTTTCATCACAAAATAGAATAATGGGATTAACAGTACAGGCTGAGAAAATCAGAAATGCTCCAGAATCTGAAATTATTTGAGCACCACGTGACACCATATGTGAAAAATTCCACACCTGACATGGGACAGGCCACAGTCAAACTTTGTTTCATGCACAAAATTATTAAAACTATTGCATAAAATTACCTTCAGGCTATGTGTGTAAAGTGTTTATTTTAGACTTTAGGACCCAACCCCAAGATATCTCATTATATATATGTAAATACTGCAAAATCCGAAAAAAAAATCCAAAAGACTTCTGGCTCCAAGCATTTCAGATAAGGAATATGAAACCTGTACGGAAACTACAAAATGCAGGCACGAGGTGGGCTCTGAGTGCGAATACTATTAAATTGTGACTGCCGCCATGTGGTGAGAAATGAGACCACTGCATAGGGGCCCCATTGATCCAGTGCTCTCGCCCTGACCGTTCCACCGCCATCCCTCGGTGAGGCCCACCTTCCCCGTCGCAGCTGAAGCCATATGCTTTGATAACTTCCTGCTGGATCTGCGTGGCCACCGGCAGCACGAATTGCAGCATCTTGCCCATGTCGTTGCATGCGTTGTCCCGAGCCTCGTCCATGCGCACGGCGTTCTCAGGGGCGGAGAACGCCTGGATCACCTCCGCCAGGACCACTGAGCGCCGGAGGCGTCCCCGGATAGGCGTTGGAACACCGGCGGAAGATCCAGCACAGCGCGCAGGGAAGAAGGCAGGGAATTGGTGGGATGAGGCCCTAAATAATCCGATAAATTCATCTCCCGAGTCCCTAGCTCTAGACTTCCCCACGTAAAAGAGAAATGGTACCTCGCTTCCCTCACCCCTTTTCCCAGCTAAGGTAGCGCCTTCTGTCGCTCCGCATCTCCCATCCGCACCCTCCTCCAGCAGAATGATTCTCACCCTTCGCCTGTTCAGCGCTCAGGGCTGCAGGTTGGGTCGAGGCAGAAGCCATGGGACGACAGAAGCTGCACGTGCAGCACAGCAAAAAGAAAAAAAAAAACGAGCCACCACCTAGAACCGTCCCCAAGTCCGATGGGGACAGAAGGGAAGCAGCATCAGTCTTAGCCGGAAGCTTCGAAACGTAGTAAATACGGAACAGACAACTCCCGACTAGGATATGTTAGAAGGACTAACCCTAAACAAACAACTCCACAAGAGCAATTCCAACTCCAAACGAGCAACTCTATTGTTGGGAACTACTGGTGTGAGAGAGAGGGTTTTCCGGTAGAGACCGGAAAACCTGCTAGACAAATTCTAAAAGAGCTGTAACACTACCGGAAACATGCCTGGAGAGAACCTGGGGTATGCATGAAGTCCACTGATGGTGAGGGTGAGCTCAAAGTGGCGTTTTTCCTACTCCTACTAATATGTAACCTCTAAGGCACACTGTAAATTTCACTAGGGAAAAACAGTATCCTAAGGAACTTACTTATATCATTTCATTTCTAGAATTTGTGACGCCGATACTAGCCTATGCAAATGAGCTCGATGCTGACTGGCTAGGAAAGCAGCCAGTCACAGCCCTTTTGTTAAGAGGGAAGGCAGGGATTCGCCCCGAATAAAAGCCCTGAGCAGGCGTAGTGCTCGCGCTTTCCCAAAACGGCCTTAGCCGGTGGGCAGTGATGGAGCCTAACTCCCCATTTTCCTTCCCGGCTTTTTAAATTGTCACCTACTCCTTTCTCAAACTGTAGGTTAAAGGGTGCCAAGTACTAATTGAAACTTCGCTCACCCCACCCCCACTCGTCTAAGGAAATATTTAGGATCCCTAAATCCTTGTTCAGGAAGATTCTGGTGACTCCTAAGCAGTGAGACCAGTAACAGGGCTGCCTCCAAGATCTGAATAGTTACCGGGATTCGACCATATCAGAGATAAGCCTGTCCCAGACTCCAGTATCTTGACTTCCAAGCCTTAGGGATAGGGGGCGGGTGGCTGGCACCTATACCATCTCCAGCAGAGTCAAGCAAGGCTTTAGGCGCTTCTGAAATAACTTTGCCAATTCTTCAAGACTCCTACACTGTTTCTTAAGGTCTTGTCCCTTCCCATTTCCCTGCCAGTCTCTGGTAGCACAGCTCTTCCTAGGAACTGCTGCCTTGAGACACCCCCCACCCAAGCCCGCAAAGAACCAGTCACAGTCATCTTCCTGGGGAGCTGAGGATGTTTTTGTTTCGTTGGTTTCAGTTGGGATGTTTTTTAAAGAGCGTCATATAGATATTTATATATATAAATTATTGTGGGGGAGGGGCAAGGGGTATACATTGCAGAGGGGGCGCACACACAGGAACTGGGGAGGGGCAGGGGCAGCACACGATGCTACTCAAAACAGCCACATCTAACAGATGAAATAATCACACCAACGGGGTGGGGGAGGGCTGGTGGCCACTGAGGGTTGGACCTGAGGGAAGGAAAGCTGGGGGTACAAGGAAGAGGGACCTGGTCCAAGATACTGTGCACTTTCAATCCCGACCCCATGCCACCTCCCCACTGCCACACACCACATGGGCCTTGGCTTTGTTTGGCCCTTTCTTCCCTCTACCCAGTTGAAGGCCCTTCAACTGAGCAGACCTTCTCCTGGGCTCTGGGTGGTAGGCCGAAAGAGGGGCCTCCAAGGTCCAGGAGCAGAAGCCAAGGGTGCTCTCTTGATGGCAGGTTCTACAGCGGCTTGTCACTTTCCTTCTTCAGGTGACTAGAGAAATGCATAGCAGAAAGATAAGACACTGAGATCAACCTGGATCTTGCCCCTCTGTCAAACAGGCTTCCCTCCCAGAGAGGTGTAGTGTTCCTCTGTACCAGACCCACAGTCCATTCCAGAATTACTGTGGATGTGATACATTCCTGGCCCAGGGGCACCCTGTAGTACCTGTAGTAGTCCTCCTGAGCAGGCAGTGGCACACTGTGTAGCGGGTGATGGGCATGCAGCCACTGCTGCTGTTCCAGCGCCAAGCGCTGCAGCTCAGCAGACTGTGCGTGCATGGCCTGCAGCTGATGAGCTGCTGACATCGGGGCAGAGAGAGAAGCTGGCAGGTCCCGGTAAGGGGCAGCTGTGAATAAGAATCGCAGGGGTACATGACCAGGGGATACTGAGTATCTACTCTGGACCAGAGACTACCTAGACACTTTACAGGAGAAAAACAGAACCAGTCCTGGAAGTTGCTAGTGGAGTAAAATTGGGATTCAGATCTCTTAGCCAGACACTAAAACTTGTGCCTCTCATGGTCAGAGCCTTAGTTCTCCTAGTCCCATTCCCAGTTCCTCTAGGTAGCACCTCATTCCTCCCCAAGTCCAAGTAGGCCCATCTAAACCACTCAAATTCTTTTCTTCCCTTCTTTCATTAGAGCTTCCCCACCCCAAACTCCATCCTTACCAAAGAGCTGGTGACGAAGAACTTCGTTCTCGTGCAGAGGGTGAGGAAGAAGGGGGTTAGGAAGGGTCCCAGCTGGGTAGGGTATCCGGGTGAGGTGAGACCCTGAGGCCAGGGGATCAATAAGAGGGTGCACCGAGGCAGAGGCTGGAGGACAAAGAAGAGGAAGGTGTCACTAGAAGGCAGATTTAGGGAAAACCATGCATTTGGGTGAAGGGATCCAAGCCTGGGAAAAGAGATGGACAGTCAAACACAAAGAGATCCAAAGTGGAACAAAAGAACCAGAGGCCTAGGGGTTGGGGGTGGGGAGGACAGGCCAAGACACTACTGACATAGGAACATGGATGTCAGAGGACAGAACATTACTTACAGTTGCCAGAAGGGTCTGAGAAGGAAAGAAAGAAGTAGACTGCTTTAAGGCAATGGAAGGTGACAGAAAGAAGCTTAGGAAATTAGACAGGAAATGAGAGATGACTAAGAGGGAGAAAGCACATGGAGCCTGGAATGCACATCTAAGACTAGGCCAGGCAATGTTCTGGACAATAATACAGTAGAAGAATTTTAAGTAAAGCTTATTATCACTTATGACACCTAAAACTGAAGCTCCAGGGACCTTTCTGGAAGATTACAGATTTAGAGATGGGGAATAACAGGAAAAACCCTGAGCTGGAAGGGAAGGAGAGGATGTGAGAAGAATTGAATCCAGAGGAACCAGGAAATAGATCTGTGAAGGACTTAGGGAAAGGGACTGCTCCTACACAGGCCCCAGCCTAAGCCTTTATCAAAGATGGGATACTATACTACGGAGAGGACTGGATGTGGGAAATATAGGCTCTGCAGCAACACTAGGGCAGAAGGAGATAGGCTAGGGAAATGTTAGAGAGGCATAGATCCAGCAACAATCTAAGGAAAAAGGTCCATGTCAAAACAGGGAAAAGAAGCCTTGACCCAATCATACAGGGACAAGGTAGCCCCAAAGGGCCAGGGTAAGGAAGTAGGAGCCTCACCTGCATGGATGGCATCCTGCTGGTGCAGGTGCAGGTGCGAGTGGATGTGGGAGTGCTGGTGGTGATGGGGTGTCACATTGAGCATCTGCAGCCGGGCCAATGGGTCATTGCCAAGGGCTGCTACCCTTTCTGCGTGCTGCCTCTCAGCTGCCAGCCGCTCAGCATAAGACATGTCAGGCCGTAGAGCTGGCCCAGCTGCCAGCGCTAGCCGTTCTCGTTCCAGGGGCCCCAGGCTCGGATGGAAGGGGAAAGGGTGCAGGCCAGGAGGGCCAGGCTGCAGGGCCAGACCCCCATGTCGGGGGAAAGGATCCAGGCCCGGCCCAGGGACCCCATGTAGAGGTTCCAGCTCACTAGGCTTCACCTCGAAGCCAGGCTTGAGGCGGTCACGGAGGTCTCGTTCTCGGGCTTCCCGCTCCCTCTCCCGGGCAGCTGGATCACTGCTGTATAGGGCTGGGACGTTGTAACCCAGGAGTCCCGGGTCCACTGCCCCCAGGGGCACGTAGAATGGGTGGTTGCGATTGCCAGGAGACATGACATGAGGCCGAGCGTATTCACTGAGAGTGCGCAGGGCTGGGGTGTCAGGACCCAGGTAGGGAGGCACTGTAGCCACAGCACTGCCCGGCTCAAATGGAGGACGATGGGGTACTGGACCCAGAGATGGGCATTCCACCGGGGCACGGCCCTCCTGAGCCAACTTCTGTAGGTACAGGTAGAAATGGAGTCAAAGGGATAGTTAACCAAAAAAAGTAGTTGGTCCCAAGGTTCCCATTTGTTTTCAGCAGCTAAATGCCAAAACCCCTCGCCCTGTTGGAAACTCTGCCCACCAAGAACTTTACTGCACACACACACCAACCCCTCGCCCCGCAACCTTCCAGATATTTGCCCTTTCCCCCAACCTGGTAAAGCACATCACCACCGCTGTACTTTGGGGGTGGGGAGCGCCACTAGCTAGCCTGCAGTGGCTCCTCCCCTCCGACAGATGGCGAAGGGACACCATCACGACCCGCCGCGCAAATAAGGGAGAAGGCCGGTGGCGCATCTCATGACGCACTCACCACACTGCGTTCGAGCTCACGCTCCTTCTCGCGCTCGCGCTCCTTCTCGCGTTCCCGCTCGCGCTCACGCTCTTTTTCTTCACGCGCGCGCTGCTCGGCCTCGCGCCGCACCTTCTCCACCAGGTCGGCTCGCTTCTTGGCCAGCTTGGAGCCTTCCAGCGGCACGAAGTACAAGTCACTGCGCGCGCACGAATTGAAACCGCGGTCCAGGTGCTTGTTGAACCTGCCAGACGCGGGTGCAGCGTACGCTCAGCCCCTGTAAGCTGCCCGCAGCGGCCTGACCCCAGCCTCCAAACCACCCCCGCAAGCTCAGAGTTGCCGCCTACTTCAAGGGCGTGAGGGCGACATGAGTGTA